CAGGGAGCCCGATGCGGGACTCGATCCTGGGACTCCAGGATCATGACCTGAGCCGAAGGCAGTCGCTTAACCAACTGAGCCACCCAGGCACCCGCATGGTGACCATACTTAACAATAATGTATCATATACTTAAAAAGAGAAGAAAAAGTAGGGAAGGCCCCCATTAAAATCACCATCTCCACGGCTCTGAGAGTGGAGTGGTTAATAGGCAATTTTTAAAATGGGTTATGTGCTCACAGCACAAAATTCTGAAGATTTTAGGTTCAACTATATGAAACTGCCATTTTTGTAAGTCAACAACGTATCAGCAATTTCATATAATTCAACTTAATACAAAAGAGCTCCAATCTGCAAACTTCTCAGTTTTTCTTTCGTTGGAAATTAGCAGACACACATGGAAACAGACTGAGAAAGGGAGGAAATACCTGGGATATTGGAAAGGGGACACTGCAGACAGCATCACCAACTGTCCCAGTCTGCCTGAGACCTAAGTGTTTCCTGGGACACGGGACTCTGAGTGCTAAAACCAGGAAAAGTCCTGGGCAGATCAGGATGAGCTGGTTACCCTAAACGAAGAGGAAAACTCCAAGAGGGACACGTGATCTACTCTCAGTTCTGGCTGGCTCTGGCTGGGAACAAGCACAAGCATCTTAGAGAAGATTCAAGGTATATATCAAATGAACCATAGGTTTTTTTTTTTTTTTTTAAACAAATGCTACTATCCCCTCCTGTCAAGTTACCTGCTGTTTTAGTTGTACTTCTTGCTGTTTCATTTGTTCATATTTGTGCCTCGATTCTGTTGCTTCTTTTAATAACTAGAAAACAGAAACATTCTGGCAAAATACTAATAGTAATTACAAATATGACTATAATGTCAAATGACCAGAGAGACAGTTAGGCTTAATCCTTCCACTCATTATTTTAGCAAGAACTGTAAGTCTATAGATAAAATTTTCGGTTACATCAATTGCTCATTACCTATTATCTTCAATCTGTTCTACTTGTTAACACTCAGGAATGTTGGAACAATCTTTTACTGCTTAGAAAGAGTAACCTGGAGGCCTAATAATAGGTTTACAAAACTCAGGGTTAAATTGTTATGTTTCAGGTGAAAATAATTACAAGTTTGGTATTAGCAGAAATCTAATCTGGAATCTTGACATTATCTAGGTGACTTAGAAAGCCACTTTACTCCTTGAGAGTCAAGATGAGGCAGAGTGAAAGGGTATGGAGCAGAGCAATGAAATCAGAGACCAGTTTCCGATCACTTCTTAAAAAGCAGGGCAGAAGTGGATGAGAGCTTTAATTTATATACTTGGGTTTTCAAGAAAATTATATAGTGAAATTGCATAGTAACACAGACTGTTGAAATTCAGCCCCTGAAGTAAAAGGTCACACGTAGTCCAAATAAGCCCTAAAAAGTCATTAAACCAACTACAAAGTATATACGTGCAATGTATGTATATATGTGTGAATATATGAAATTTATACCTCCACTTTGCAAAGAACTGTTTCTTCAATTATACACAGAATAGCATTATCAGTTCACACAGAAGATGGTGCTGTATGAAAAACAGGTCTCTCTTAAGCCTAGACTCACACTCAGCATGGTAAGTTCACATCATGAGGGCCACTCAGAGTCTTCATACCAGGTTCGCCTCAAGGCCTATGCTACTTGAGTGAAAGCTGGATGAACAGTCCTCATTGCCATAATCATTTCTCACTTTTTTTTGGGGGGGGGGAGGGTTAAGCACATAAAGTTGAATTTGCATATGTTAAATATACATACCCAATGAGATTCCACTGTATTCACAATTACTGACAGGCAATATAGTCTGAACATACACTCTGGGAACGATGCTGAGTGATTAGGTATAGAGAATTCTGTTAAAGTTTTATCAGAAAATTATACCAGAGTAAGTAGACAAACAGTTTCCCTAGTTTCAAGTTACTTGTTTGTAAATAAAATATCACAGTATATAGGAGACCAGTGTTTGGTAAGCTCGATATTAAACTGAGCTGCCAAATTTAATGTGCTAAATACTGGTATAATTCTTGAACTTGGTGACCATTACCAAAGAAGTGAAATAATTATAAGCATGAAAAAGTCAAATGAGTGCAGGTCTTTCCACTAATTTGGTCTAATCTCTCCAGTGGTCTTCTGTATAAAAAAAGTTAAACAGAAATAAAAAGCCAAATACTTTCTAATACACACATGCCCTTCTCAATCTAGAACAAGAAACCAATTAGCATGACCCAGGCGCTCTATTAATGTAGAATAAGTTTAAGTATTTTAAATGGCTTTGGTTACAATTTTGACAATTTCTTTAAGAAAGAGAACTTACAAACTCTCTCTCTCTTTGATGTTTTTCATCAGCTTCTTTTATTAGCTGTGTTGTCTGTTGAAGCTTGGCATCCACAAGTTGTTGCTGTAATTCCTTATGTTTGAACACTTTATCAATATGCTATGGGAGAAGTAAAATTTCTTACATCACTTAATGAAAAAGGAACACAATGATGAGGAAACAACACAAGTTACAATACCTTGCTTATTCTTAACCCTGCTTTTCCTGCTAATGCCACCATAGCTGAAGACACTGGGTCCACGAGTTTGTAGAAGCGTGAGCTTTACATCACCTTGCAAGCCCTCCTGCACTTGCAGAAAAGGAGCCTTCCCACTACTACCCTGTACCCCCCTCCCTTTTGGAGGTGGGCTGTCAAGGAGCCTCATTAACCACACACTTGTACTTCCTATTTCTGCCCTACAACGAAAATGAGGCTCAAAGTGTATCAAGAAAAAGATGGATAAGGAGATCAAACTGTTAAACCCATACATCAAACACATTAATTCCTGGATATATTTCTCCCCTTTAAATTTCCCCAAATTTCTCAGTTGGAAGCAGCATGCGGTGACAACTGGAGTGGCCCCAGGTCAAATCCTGGCTGGTGTGTGGCCCAGGGCAGATTTTCCCTTGCTGATTCTCACTTCCCTCCTCCAAGCACAGATAACCACACTCGCTGCACAGCTCTAAATGCCAAAGTGGTGGTTCTGCTGTGTAAGGTGCCTGGTACCCAACACATATTAGACATTTGCTAAAATGTCATTATGATTTCCAAACGAAATTGTTAAGTGGTTATTTATCCACAATAAAGTCATCAGAACATCTCGTCTCAGATGTACAGAGTAACTCTTCCTGACCAAAGAACATCTGATAACGTTCAAAATAAGACGGCTCACATATAATTTGATTTGAACATATCTAATTTTCAAGTTTTCTACATCTATCATGTGGCAGACTGTCATATTAAACAAAACTAAAAGAAAAATTTTAAGAAAATTAAGGATTTTATAATCTAATACAAAATTTATTCTCTAGGACAAAAAAGTTCCTTCAATAAATACTCTAAGAAAAAAAAACAGTGAAGAGGAAATCTTGATGTTACAGATTTGAGACCGATCAACCAGTGAAACAGATGGACTTTATTTAGAGCTTGATTCAAATAGCTTCAAAAAAAAAAAAAAAAAAGGCATGGGGGGACTACAGAAAATTGAACAATGACTCAATATTTAATGTTAAGTAATTACTGTTAATTTTGTTAGGTGTGAAAATGATAGCATGGTTGTGCTTAAAAAGGGATCCTTATCTTTTTGAGGTACACCCTCAAATATACATGAACAGAATGAAATAGGACACCTTGAAGTTGTATCAAAATAACCCAGGGCAAGCCGATGGGAATAAAGCTGAAACTATGGTTTCATCTGCTAAAACCAGATGACATATTCTCTCTAAGTTTGCAATTCTCCATTAAAAAAAAAAAAAAAAGGGCACAAGGCAGAGAGAGTGATTAAGGGGCTCCTGGGTGGCTCAGTTGGTTGAGCGTTCAACTCGTGATTTTGGCTCAGGTCATGATCTCAGGGTCCTGACGTTGGGCTCCGTGCTCACCATGAAGTCTGCTTGGGATTCTCTCCCTCCCTCTCCCTCTGCCCCTCCCCCCACCCCACACGCACTCTCAAATAATAAACAATCTTTAAAAAAAAAGTAAGTTTTTGAAGGGCTGAATGTAGGACTCTAAGTTAGTATGATCTGAAGTTTGCCTTCAAAACTGGATACAGTAACCCACAGAGGTGCCAATCTTTTTTTTTTTTTCCTTTAATCAGCTATTTTAACCTACTTGTGTAGGGTTACAACACACATAAAAGCACATTTCCCTAACTTCAAAGGCAGGGGATGCACTGTTTAAAAAGCCTGAGGCCATCAGAAAGGATGAATACCTACCATTTGCAATGACATGGGTGGAACTGGAAGGTATTATGCTAAGTGAAATAAGTCAAGCAGAGAAAGACAATTATATGGTTTCACTCATATGTGGAATATAAGGAATAGCGCAGAGGACCATAGGGGAAGGGAGGGAAAACTGAATGGGAAGAAATCAGAGAGGGAGACAAGCCATGAGAGACTCTGGACGCGGGGAAACAACCTGCGGGTTACAGAGGGAGGGGGGTGGGTATTAAGGAGGGTCTGTGTTGTGATGAGCACTGGATGTTATATGCAACTAATGAATCATTGAACATTACATCAAAAACTAACAATGGCTAATTGAAAATAAAACTTTTTAGCATATAAACATATGAAAGAAATAAATTAATGTCATTTTCTTTGACAAAAAAATAAATAAATAAAATAAAAAGCCTGATGCCTCTAATCCTGCCCATTTGGCCTCTAAAAAGGAGGAACCTTTAAAAAAACAAACCAAACTAAACAAACAAACAAAAAACAGGCCATCACCTATTTGCTTTTATTTTTTTATTTTTATTTTTTTTTAAAGATTTTATTTATTTATTTGACAGAGAGAGAGACAGCGAGAGCAGGAACACAAGCAGGGGGAGTGGGAGAGGGAGAAGCAGGCTTCCTGCCAAGCAGGGAGCCCGATGTGGGACTCGATCCCAGGACTCTGGGATCATGACCTGAGCCGAGGGCAGACGCTTAAGAACTGAGTCACCCAGGCGCCCACCTATTTGCTTTTGACACCTCTGAATTTCCTGACTAGATTGAAAAAGTCTTAGTTGGAGGCCAATGACCAAGATCAGCAGGCATGGATCCTTCCAATCAACTTTTTACTTCAACGGGTATGAGAGTTTAGAAATAGGTTCTATTTTTTCCTCTCAAAAACCCTCATTAAAAGAAAAAAATCTAAAACACAGGTATAACACAATGGTAATGTAGACTGCACATGTTCACAGATGTCTGAATTAGTGCATATTTGGGGGCCAAATATTTATTATTAGTCTAGACAAGGGGAAAAATTTGTATGCTCAAAACTTTAATCTTGTAGTACCACATGGAAGACAAGTAGCACTCAATACACTTCTCTAAGAAATTGCCTCACCCTACCCAAACCCATGGACTCCTCAACTATCTAAGTGATGATCCCCAAGACTCCCATTCTCACGGTGGCTGAAGATTTCCTAAGAAAAACCCAACTTCCATTATGCAGATATAAAAGTTCTAAAACATCCTGTGATGGTAGTTTTACTCTGGTAGTGAATGGTGAAAAATTCTTGCTGATAATGAGAAGCTGTCTAAACCAATAAAATGGCTTTACCTCCTCTCTCAGTGCATACTGTTCAATGAGCTTCTTCAGCTTCTCTCCCAGCTCAATGTTTTCCTGGCGGAGTTTGGCATTGTGTATGTCATGTTGTTCCAGCTGTGCCTGGATTTCATTTAAAGTGATTTGGAAGTGTGCAGTGGCTTCTTTACGTCTTTCTTCCTCCTCTCGTGCCTGCTGCATATTTTCTTCCTTATTATCCAAAATAATTTCTGTTAATGGTATAGACCTATACAGAAGATGCTCATAAAAGCTTCTGCTGCTCCGGGGGTTTATTTATTGCTTCTGAACTCTGATTCCCCTTCCCTTTATTTGTGACCAGAAAGTGCTCATTTAATAAGCAAGCAGCTTTTCTTGAGTAGATAATAAGAGAGGCAAGCTGCCCTGCTGTAAAATGAGGCTACATCCAATCTAAAATTCACCATACTGAAAATTAATTAAACGGACTACCCTGAAAGACAAGGAGCTTCTCCACGTGGCCAGCTCCCTCCACTGTACGTTCCCGAACACTCTCCGGTTACACAGCGGCATCTTACATCAGCCTGACGAGAGAGACCCTTCTTGCAGCTTACTTTCTGGGTACACCTGACCCCCTAGAAGGCAAGGGACTACTTCCATCACTTGCCAAAGATACAAGTGTTAAAAGACTTTCACGTGTTTAAACAGCTATCCGTCTAATCAAAATGTTGATTTTCTATAGGAAAAAAAATACCACCTACTTTAGTGAATAATTAAATCCAAGGGTTCAAAAGCAAAGAAAAAACTAACAGCTCCCAGAGTAGGTGAAGATCCATTTCTCGAGTGTTCCTGGATTCTAGGACCTTGGGCATCTGCTGTGCTGGGGCAGTTTGATGAGAGATCCTGCTCAGTCAAAATCATACCAAAACTGTACATGAGGACAGGCCCACCTCCACGTCTCTGGCTCCTTTTCCTTCTTCCCCTGCTGGCACCAGTTCATCTTTGGGTACCTGCTCCCTCTTCCTTTTTTCAGCCATGGCTTAAGTGCTATTCTGAAAGTACTTAGCCACTGGGTACTCGGGGGTAGGCAAGGGTGGTCTGGCCATGCAGCTGGTGAACAGCCCCTACGGAGCTCAGCAGATGTTTTCCCTCCCCAGACTCAGTCTCTGCCTCAAGTCTGTTTCTACTCGGCTCCTCATTCATGTCAGCTTTTCCTACGTGGTCATTAACTACCTCAGTGCTCAGCAGAAAATAGGCAACTCTGAGTTTCCTAAGCCAGGGCTCCAGGCAGATAAGCTGTTGTCTAAATACCAATCTCAATTCGATTCCCCATGACCATATATGAGGTTCATTAAGAACCATCAGGCCAAGCAAAACAGTAGAAAAGTGGTTGCTGTCTCCATGTAGAGACAAAAGATTTACTTCAAATAGGTACAAAGTGATTATAAAACAAGCTAAGTCAGTGTCAGTCCCTCCTGAAAAACAGAAAAGTGAACCAACTAACCTTTAATGTCTTATTGTGACGCTGAAGTTCCCTGCAAAGAGACTCTAGTTTGCTTCTTGCCAAGATAGCCTTGCTGTGTTCACTCTGCAAGTGAACTTTCTCTTTCACAATTTGGGCTTGTTTCTTCTGCAGAATCTTCATTTGCTTCTGAACATTCCTGCTTTCCTCCAGCTAAAATTAATAAGCACTTTACAATCAGGAAGTACAATGAAAACCTTTGAGTTATGGCTGGAGAAATTACACTAAGAACTATGGAACACATTTTCAAAAACCAAATATTACAGTCTATTTTTTTTAAATTATTTTGTGTCATATTACTCTGCCAACCTTCTCTCTCTTCCAGTTGTGATAGGAAAGTAAGCAAATGTAGGGAAAAAAACAATCCTAATCCATTTTTTTTTTAAGTAAACTCTACCTCCAAAGTGGGACTCAAACTCACAACCCTGAGATCAAGAGTCACATGCTCTATCGACTGAGCCAGCCAAGCACCCCTTAATCTTTTATTAAAAATTTTGAAAAATGCTGTTTTTGTAAAAACTTTAGAGGCCAACACAATCGAGTTTTACTTTTCTGAAAAACACACACAGGCTACTCTACTGAAATGGTCCTCCAAATTAGAATAAGCAGCACTGGGGCGCCTGGGTGGCTCAGTCAGTCAAGCGTCCGACTCCAGATTCCGGCTCAGGTCATGATCTCTGGGTTGTGACACTGAGCCCCGCACCAGGCTCCATGCTGGGTGTAGAACCTGCTTAAGATTCTCTCTCTCCCTCTCCCTCTGCCCACACTCCCTCCTCAGCTCGGGCACATGCACACGCTCTCTCTTAAAAAAAAAAAAAAAAAAAAGAATAAGCACTCAGGGTTCTTTGTGAGAAAGAGGAGTTGCTGCAATTTTAGGTTTGGAGCATATATTTCAAAGTTAAATCAACACTAACAGATTAAGACTTACTGACATTTCACAGAAAGCAAGGATGCTGAGTCAATTTCAGGAGCAAGAGTGACACCTTGTGGCCTATCAAAACACACCAAGCATCCTTACATGCCATATGCTTACAGCTATTAGAAACATCCTTACAGAAATTCCTGCAGAAAAAATAGTTTTGTTTTTGTTTCCTACTTTTGCAAAGTAATCGTAGATGACTGTGGACACAGCACAGCTGCAAGAGGCTTCCAGTCTGTACATACTATCTGTAACTCCACTGAGAGCGGCAACCCCCCTGCCCTCTCGGACTCAAGGTAATCACAATCCTGAATCCCAGGCTCACAATTCCTTTGCTCTTCTCTTTTATCTCATTTGTGTGTGGTCCTAAAAGAACCGTTCTGGTTTCAGTTATCTTGACTCTGTTGTGGCTAGTGCAACTGAAGAACTGAATTTTTTCTTTAATTTAAATTGAGCTTAAATAGTCGCAGGTAGCTAATGGCTACCATTTTGGACAGCACAGCTGTAGATTATATTGCTAGAACTCATCCAAATCAACTGCACAGATCAGGGAACAGCAAACTTTTTCTGTAAAGGGCCAAAAAGTGTTTTAGGCTTTGCAAGCCACATACTCTGTCTGTTGCATCGTTGTCTTTTTTTTAAAACACTTTAAAAATGTAAAACCATTCTTAGCTTGTGGGCAGTACAAACACAGGCCTCGCCAGATTTGGCCCACTGGTTATATGATATCTCACTTAAAAAATATACCACACACAACATACTTTACTGATCCATTCTCAAGTCAATGGGCATTTGGGTTGTTTCCAGACTTGATTACTTAGAATGATATGAACACTGTCTTACGCGTTTCCTGCTATACACATGCAAGAATTTCTCTGGGTGCAAACCTAAGAGTGGGACTGCTAGGCAGTGATTAATGTTCTATTTCACATGACAATGCCAAACTCTTTTCCAGAGTGGCTGGCAAATTTATTCTCCCATCAGCGACTTATAAGAGATCATGTAGATAGATGTACATCCTCTCCAAAACTAAGTACAATCAGAATTCTTAATTTATGCCCCTACAATGGACATAAAATGGCATCTCCTTCTGGTCCAGATTTGCATTTCCCTGATCACTAATAAAGTCACACATCTCTTCATATGTTTATGTACCTTTATGTTAAGGTATTTTTGTATCTTCATGTTTTTCCACTTCTATAAAATGCCTCTTACATGTCTCTTGCCCATTTTTCCGTTGGGTTATTTGTTCTTTTCATATTCATTTGTAGGTGTTCCTTACATATTCTTGAAAGTAAATATTCTGTTGGTTGTATTTGTTGGAATATGTTCTTCAGGGTTTTTTTTTTTTTTTAAGAGTTTATTTATTTATTTGACAGAGAGAGACACACAGAGAGAGGGAACACAAGCGGGGGGGTGGGAGAGGGAGAAGAAGGCCTCCTGCCAAGCAGGGAGCCCGATGCAGGGCTCGATCCCAGGACCTAGGACCATGACCCGAGCCGAAGGCAGACACTCAATGACTGAGCCACCCAGGTGCCCCTTCTTCCCAGTTTTTTAATGTGACTTCTCACTGTCTTTTGAAGTGTCTTTTGCTGAACAGAAAGTTAATTTCAACACAGCCCATTTTTGCAATCCTTTCTCTGATAGTGCTTTTTGTGTTGTAAGAATTCCTTCCCTTGGAACGCCTGGGTGGCTCAGTCAGTTAAGCGTCTGCTCAGCTCGGGTCGTGATCCCAGGGTCCTGATATCGAGTCCCGCATCGGGCTCCCTGCTCAGTAAGGAGCCTTCTTCTCCCTCTCCCCTCTGCCTGCCACTCTGCCTACTTGTGTTCTGTCAAATAAATAAAATCTTTAAAAAAAAAAAAAAAGAAGAAATCCTTCCCTTGGGGTCCCTGGGTGGCTCAGTCAGTTAAGTGTCAGACTCTTGATACCGGCTCAGGTCACGGTCTCATCAGGTTTGTGAGATGGAGCCCCACATCAGGCTTCGTGCTCGGTGGGGAGTCTGCTTGTGGTTCTCTCTCTTCCTCTCCCCGCCCCCTCCTCTTTCTCTCTAAAATAAATAAATAGGGGCACCTGGGTGGCTCGGTCGTTAAGCGTCTGCCTTCTGCTCAGGTCATGGTCCCAGGGTCCTGGGATCAAGCCCCACATCAGACTCCCTGCTCAGCGCATCAGGCTCCCTGCTCAGCACTCATCAGGCTCCCTGCTCAGCACATCAGGCTCCCTGCTCAGGGGGAAGCCTGCTTCACCCTCTCCCGCTCCCCCTGCTTGTGTTTCCTCTCTCGCTGTGTCTCTGTCAAATAAATAAAATCTTTAAAAAAACAAAAAACAAAAAAAACCCTTAACCCATGTTTGGAAAAATATTTATTAATATATCTAAATAAACCTAAATATCTAAAATAAATTTTTTTTAAGATTTTATTTATTTACTTGACAGAGAGAGACACAGCAAGAGAGGGAACACAAGCAGGGGGAGCGGGAGAGGGAGAAGCAGGCTTCCCGCCAAGCAAGGAACCCGATGTGGTGCTTGATCCCAGGACCCTGGGACCATGACCTGAGCCGAAGGCAGACGCCTAACGACTGAGCCACCCAGGCACCCCTAAATATCTAAAAAAATTTTTTTTAAAGATTTATTTATTTGCTAGAGAGAGAGAGAGAGTGAGAGTACAAGCAGGGGGAGTGGCAGGCAGAGGGAGAAGCAGGCTCCCCGCCGAGCAAGGAGCCTGATGCAGGGACTCGATCCCAGCACCCTGGGATCATGACCTGAGCCAAAGGCAGACGCTTAACCGACTGAGCCACCCAGGCGTCCCTAAAATTTTTAAAGCTTAATTTTTAACATTTAAATCCTTAATCCATTTGAAATTAATCATTGTGTAGTATGATACATAAGAATCTAATTTCTTTCCCATAAGGATATACACTTTATTTATTTAAGTAACTCTACACCCAACATGAGGCTCGAACTCATGACCCCGAGATCAAGAGTTGCATGCTCCATCAATTTAAACAGCCAGGTGCCCCAGGATATACACTTAAGTTCCATTAATTTCATGAGGATGGCAACTCTCCCCCAAATGCACCAAGAGAATCCATGAAATGTTCTTCTAAATCCCCAACTGGTGTTTCTTTCCCCTAATTTTTCCCAGTAAGTTGAACCTAAAATTTTACAGAGTAAAGAGCCACGAATAGCCAAGATACTTCTAACAAAAAGAGTAATAAGAATATACACACCTACCCCAGCAGATATCAAGATTTATTATTACACTATAATAATCTACACACGGGATGCCTGGGTGGCTCAGTTGGTTAAGCGTCTGCCTTCAGCTCAGGTCATGATCCCAGGGTCCTGGGATTGAGTCCTACATCAGGCTCCTTGCTCAGCGGGGAGCCTGCTTCTCCCTCTGCCTGCCGCTCTGACAAATAAATAAAATCTTTAAAAATAATAATCATCATCATCTACACAAACTGACTCAGGAATGGGAAAGAACAGCACTATAATATAACAAGTACTTAAGAATCATGTTACAGGGGCACGTGGGTAGCTCAGTCGTTAAGCGTCTGCCTTCGGCTCAGGTCAGGATCCCAGGGTCCT